TGCCCTCTATCCCTCCCTCTCTAACCTGACCCTTTGATCCTTTCCTTAAAATCGTGTAAGAGGAGTTTTAGTTTCTCACTATAAAGGAAAATGGAACGGAGTGTTTAAAATTAAACACTAATACAGTAATATTTCAGTAATGTCTGATCAATAGATGAACCTGGTAAGATATTAAAGTAAGATGAATGAGCTGTGATTATAATGTGTTGTTACAATTTCTTAAGAAACAAAATGTAGTAATACTCTTTGAAAATGTTGCATAAAACCACTCGTTTGCAGTTTTCTCTATTTACTAGTCCGCTATTTACTAGTCCGCATATATATATATATATATATATATCCAAGGCTGTGAAAATTAAATGAATCCTGAAAGCCATGCAAGGAGCTCCGTGAACCCAAATATTGCTGTTGAGTTTGGTTTAAATAGCTTCCTACGTCAGTAAGCACACTGTTCAAGTAAATAGCTAGGTCAACTACTGCCAAATTAAACTATGTTTGTCTTCTTTTCCTTTTTGGGTTATCCGAACCAGAAACAACGTCCAAACTTGTTTGGAAGTTACATTATGATACATAAAGTGCAAATTGGCTGAACATTTATCTTCTTTTTTTAAGGCGACACACACGAATATTTGTCATTCAATTCATACAGAACGCAACGATATATAAGAAACATATATTTTGTGTCTCCTCCACTATTATCACAGTGATCTTTTCTATTTTTAGGCAATAATATATTAATCTTACTACTAAGTAGAATAAGTAGTTAAATGGACACCACGAATCACGATATCCACGTTTTAACAAGCAAACGAAAAAATGAGCAGACATATAGCTCATAGAGTTTCTGACAACTTCAAGATGGTGAAATAAGGAAACATATTACAAAACCAATAACAGAATCATGTTTGTCTAACTTCTTGAGAAAGCTGAATATGGAGTATGACATGGAATGGTTTCTTTACAGTTTTGATGGTTGGAATTGTTGCCCTTTATGGTTTCTTGAAGAAGGCAAATAAATGGTTTTGTGTGATGAAAATGAATCTTATTTGTTTTTAGTTACTATTTGCACTATTTTCTGGTTTTTCTTGTAATTTTCCCCAAACTAGCATAGGTATGGGAATGGATCATTCATGTACAGAAATCCAAGCATCATCTTTACAACGCCAGAAATATGCAGGCAAGTATTGATGGATGATGAACATTTTTTGTTGAGTTTTCCATAATCTGCAACAGATCTAACAGCAAAGAGAGCATTATTGTAATTTAAACACATACACAGAGCCAACACATCGGGAATTATACAAGGAACGTACCTTCAACCATGGTTGTTCAAGTGATGTGGGGAATTCCTTGGAAGAACCTTGAGAGAAAACCTAAGGAGCCTTCTAGCCTATGCCTATCGTAGGATGCCAGATTGATGGAGTCACAGGTGTATTTATAAGTAGGCTAGGGACTCTTAGGCAAATACTTTAGCCCTAGGGACTTCCCATAAAAGTGTGCACTGTCATGTATATAATCATAATGTCTAGACAAACTGTTAGAGAGCAAAGCAAGACTAAGTTGAGCTACTAAGCCCCATATGGGTTACATGATCCTTGAAAATATTAGTCGGCAGACCCTTAGTCATAGGATCAGCAATCATCAAAGTAGTACTAACATGCTCAAAATTCACATCTTGCTTCTTCACATAGTCTCTAACCATTAAGTACTCACTTTTATTATTCTTAGAAAGGAAAACCGCAGCTGAATTGTCACAAAAAATTCTCAATGGCCTTGAAATAGAATTGACAATCCTAAGGCCGAAAATAAAGTGTTTCAACCATAACGCCTGTGATGTAGCTTCATAGTATGCTATAAATTCAGCTTCCATTGTGGATGTTGCAACAATGGTCTGCTTGACACTTCTCCAAGACACAACACCTCCAGCTAGAAGGAAAATGTATCCTGAAGTAGATTTACCAGTGTCCTTGCATCCACCCAGATCAGAGTCTGAATATCCAATCACCTCCAATGAGTCAGAGCATTTGTATGTGAGCTTAAAATCCTTGGTTCCTTGCAAATATCTCAAGACCCCTTTACCAGCTTTCCAATGGTCAAGGCCAGGGTTACTTTGATATCTGCCAAGCATTCCTACCGCAAAAGCAATATCAGGTCTAGTACAGACCTGTGCATACATAAGGCTCCCAACAAGTGAAGAATAGGGAATGTCTTTCATTTGCTCTTTTTCCAATGCATTTTGTGGACATTGATTCAGTGAGAATTTGTCACCTTTAATTATGGGTGCTGCTATAGGTGAACAGTTCTTCATCCCGAATCTTTCCAGAATTCTTTCAATGTAGGCCTTTTAAGACAGTCCAAGTAATCTTTGGGATCTGTCTCTGTGAATCTCTATGCCAATGACATAAGAGGCTTCACCCATATCCTTCATCTCAAAATTCTGGATAAGAAACGGTTTAGTCTCGTGCAACAATCCCAAGTCACTACTTGCAAGCAAAATATCATCCACATATACGACTAGAAAAATATATTTTCTCCCACTTATCTTAAGGTATATACACCGATCAATGATGTTCTCCGTAAATCCAAATGAAGAAACAACATTATGAAATTTAATATACCATTGGCGGGAAGCCTGCTTTAGCCCATAAATGGATTTATTCAACTTGCAAATAAGGTGACTTTTGTCCTTATCACAAAATGCTTCAGGCTGACGCATGTATACCTCATCTTCAAGATCTCCATTCAGGAAAGCTGTTTTCACATCCATTTGATGTAACTTTAAATCAAAATGAGCTACTAATGCCATGATTATTCTCAATGAATCCTTCTTTGATACTGGAGCGAAGGTTTCATGGTAATCAATGCCTTTCCTTTGAGTAAAACCCTTGGCTACAAGTCTGGCTTTATATCGTTCGATATTACCAGATGAGTCTCTTTTAATTTTAAAGAATCATTGGAGCCTATGGTAGATGACCCTTTTGGTAATTCGACGAGATCCCAGACTTTATTTTTAGCCGTAGATTCTAACTCTTCTTTCATGGCATCATACCAAAGTGTGGAGTTTTCTCCACTCATGGCGTGTGAAAACGAGTATGGATCATCTTTTAGTCCAATATCATAATCAGACTCTTGGAGATATACAATGAGTCACTAGAAATTGCTGGTTTTCGAACTCTTGAGGATTTTCTTACTCCCACTGGTTCAGACACTTCTTTAGTGAGTTTAGGTAAAGCGGGTTGATCTTCATGTGGCTCCTCAAGTGGTGGTGGATCTTGAACTTGTTGTTGTTCAGATAATTTATGAGAATTTTTCTGAGCAACATTCAAGTTTCCAATACATAAAGGTACCACAAGTGGTTCCCTTATTTCTTCCAATTCCATCCTTTGAGTCAAACCACTTCCACTTCTTCATGCTCCTCAAGAAATTTAGCGTTTCTAGCTTCAACAATTTTAGGAGAATGAGAAGTACAATAAAACCTAAATCCCTTAGAGTTAACCGCATAACCTATAAAATAACCACTTATTGTTCTTATCAAACTTCTTTAGTTGTGGGTTATAAACCCTCACTTCAGTTGGACATTCCCAAACATGTAAATGATTTAAACTAGGTTTCTATCCTTTCTATAACTCAAAAGGTGTCTTGGGGACAACCTTGGATGAAACCCTATTTAAAATATACACAACAGTTTTTAAGGCTTCACTCCATAAAGATAAAGGTAAACTTGATCTGCTAATCATGCTTCTTACCATGTACATTAATATCCGATTCCTTTTTTCTGCCATACCAATTTGTTATGGTGTTCCTAGCATGGTATATTAAGCAATTATACTTTCACTCTCAAGGAACTCAGCAAATGGACCCTTAACTTGTCCCTTATCTGTGTACCTACCATAATATTCTCCACCCCTATCAGATCTTACAATTTTGATCTGAGCACCAGTTTGTTTCTCTACTTTTGTCTTGTAAACTTTAAAAGCATCAAGTGCTTCTGATTTGTTAAACAGAAAATAGAGATACATATATCTTGAATAGTCATCAATAAACGAGATGAAATATCTCTCACCATTCAAGCAAGGGGTAGGAAAAGGTCCACATATGTCTATATGTATGATCTCAAGTAATTGAGAACTCCTTTTGGCACCTTTAGTTGATTTGTTGGTTTGCTTACCCTTTATGAAGTTCACACAAGTCCCAAAGTCAGAGAAATCAAGAGCTTTTAGAACTCCATCATTAACCAACCTTTTGACTCTATCAATAGAGATGTGTCCCAATCTCTTGTGCCAAAGACTTGATTAGTTCTCATTGATAATACATCGCTTAGTGCTAATTTCTTTATCATGCAAAGTTAATACATTGCATTCAAATGTGGGGTCTATCTCAAGTTTATATAAATTTCCATTCAAATTTCCAAAACCAATAAATTTATTATCTTTCAAAAGTTTCACAGAAGGATAATGAAAATTCAAATCATATCCACTAATTGATAGTCTTGAAAGAGAAATTAAATTTCTAGGATATTCTGGAACATAAAAAGTATTTTCTAAATCTAAGTGAAAACCATCCTTCAAAATGAGCCTATAAATCCCTACGCCTTCCATACATGAACGCGTCTTATTGCCAGAATAGACGTATTGTTCACTTCCTATCAGCTTCCTTTGAGTTAGAAAGCCCTGCATGATTTTGGCAATGTGAATTGTGGCACCAGAATCAATCTACCATGTATTATCAGAAACTTTAATAAAATTAGATTCATAACATACAAAGGTAAAATTACCTTTCTTCTCAAGCCATTTCTTATATTTCAGGAAATCCTTCTTCCAATGACCCTTCTTTTTACAGAAACGGCAAGCATCTTTGTCAAAGGTGCTTTTCTTCTTCATGAGAACACTTTTGCCCTTCTTTGCATTTCTCTTACCATGAGTCACCATATTAACACTTTCAGGTATCTCATGCTTCAACCTCTCTTCTTCTTTAACACACATGGTCAAAAGTTCATTGATTTACCATTTATCCTTATGCGTGTTGTAAGAAATCTTGAACGGACCATATTCCGCAGGAAGGGAGTTGAGAATGAAATGCACAAGAAATGGTTCAGACATATCCACCTCAAGGGACTTGAGTTTAGCAGGAATGTCTCTCATCTCCATAATGTGCTCACACACTATACGACTTCTGTCGAAAGTCATACTTGAGAGCCTCTTCATAAGGGTGCTAGCCAATGCCTTGTCAGAGCTTACAAATTGTTCATCAATTGCCTTCATGTAAGCTTTGACCTTATCGCTGTTAGGGATAGAACCCCTAATGCTTGGCTTATGTGATCTTTTATGAGCATTGAACTTAAGCGATTAGATCGCTCCCACCGCTCATAGTTAGCCTTAGCAGTTGGAGTACTTGATTCTGTGGGAATAGGTGGTTTATCCACACGGAGTGACATGTCTAGATCCAAGCACCCTAAAGTGAGAAGGACTTTCTCCTTCCATTCAGTATAATTGTCACCAGAAATCATTTGAATTCGAGCATTCTCATTAAAAATAGCGGTAGGAAAAGCTGTAAATACTGCAAAATAAGGATAAACATACATAAGCTATGAAGTACAATCCGTCAAAGGTGAATCGCGTAAAATACCAATTTATAGTAAATTCTAGACCTTCCCGTGGGCAGAGGTTGCAACCCATGCATAGAATTTACTAACTTTATTAGACTAGTAAACCGAAATGCATAAAAATTAATCTGTACCTGTGGGCATAAGATAATTTTCAACTTAAAGGTTTATTATCTTATTCCAATTAATCTCACCAAAATAATTACCTTCCTGTAGGGCCATTCTAATGAGATAACTAGACTAAATAGATGTCATTAAAATTTTTAATCACCAGACTTTATGTGATTAAACAATTTAATTTCTTTCATATCAAGTACTCAAGATGCCGTGTCTACTCCTAAGTACATCACATAAAAGAAAACTCAATAATGACATCTCACAGTATTTAACCTTTAACTATCAACTTATCTAGAATGTTGATTGTTTTTAAAAAAATAGGCAGCTTGAATGTAAGTATGGCTTTATGTTTCCCCAAAAGTAATTCTTATAATATTATAAGAACTTCTCAAATATTAGCAAGGCTATTATAAAACAACACAATATGCAATACCAAAGAAAATAATTTTATTATTTTAACAACTTAAAAGCCTTGCCTAAAGGTGAATACTGCCACCCCAAAATTGCAATAATCTCTCGTCAGAATGCTTACCATTGGTTATTTAATATGACCAAAATTTATCATTGTGAGCTCTAAAGTCTACAACTGATCAGATAGGCACAAACTTCAAGACAAATAAAGTATCTATTTACAATAAACAAATAAATACATCATCCTCATGGTGGTATTACAAAAATAGCAATTCTAACCTAAACCAGAGTTATAAAATACTTATATTGTATGCACCAGATTAAATATACAAATATGTACTGCTACAGTATGCAGTCTACTGTTCAAACAGCTTAATGCAAATCTCTCTAATTGGCATATTAGATTCTCCAAAGCGAATTAACACCAAGTAATTTTCAGATCAGAGAGAAGAGAACAAGTTTGAACCATAACATATCAATTATCAATATAAGTGTTACCAGAAAAATGATTTCTCTCTTGTTCTTACAATGTAAAATCAAAGTATGCCGACAAAGATACATAAAACTCATAGAGTTAACCGTAATTAAAACACACTCGAAAGCCAAAAGCTAAAGAGTAATCTACTGACTAAAGTTCGGTTCCAAGTTACAATTTCGTTATTATCAAAACATGATAAATTATATCCATAATTACCATCAAAAGTACTGAACAAAATAGTTAAAAGGTAGGCTCTGATACCACATGTTGTAATTTAAACATATACACAAAGCCAACACAGCGGAAATTATACAAGGAACGTACCTTCAGCCATGGTTGTTCAAGTGATGTGGAGAATTCCTTGGAAGAACCTTGAGAGAAAACCTAAGGAGCCTTCTAGCCTATGCCTATCATAGGATGCCAGACTGATGGAGTCACAGGCGTATTTATAGGTAGGCTAGGGACTCTTAGGCTAATACTTTAGCCTTAGGGACTTCCCCATAAATTATAATTACCCTAATGACTTCTAATATATGGTAATTTCTTTCCATCAAAGAAACTACCATATATGCATAACTATAGAATATTATTTCCTTGGGGAGGCAAGGTAAATAATTTATTACCTTATAAGTGGGTCACACTAGAAGTCTCTAGAAGAGACAGTAATTTCTAACAAGAATTTCATGTAGTTACAAGGCAGCATGCACAAGCTTCTGCGGCAGATAACGACAGGTTCATTTACAGGTCATGAGGCATTTATCACTGTATGTTGACCATATAAAGGAGATTGCTGTTGCTGCATTCCATAAGAGCTTTAGCCCGGTGAGTTGCTAACTGAAATGATGAAGTTTGCATTTCAAGTGCTCATGGCTGTCATTATGGGTAGACAAGTTGATCAGAAATGGTTTGATGTAGTTGAAAATGAGTTTGCTGTTTTTGTTGATGGAGTTTTTGCCCTGCCACTATATCTACCAGGATTCGCTTACCACAGGGCACTTAAGCTTAGTTTTTGCACCAGATTATTCAAAAAAGACCAGTTGATCAAAAATGGAAGGTTTTGGTTTGGACAAGGAATGTTCATATGGATCCTAAGTCCTAACAATTATCCGAACCCTAAGGAATTCAATCCTTCAATATGCGATGTAAGTTGAAGCAGTTGAATACATGTCTTAGGAAAAATATTTTGTTTATTGTGAAAATGGTAACAACAATTAAATTTGTGAATGAAATTATAAAAATACGTGATCTATTTTTATGCTAGTTGTTAGAGCAGTAGATGCTGAAAGAGTAAGTTTAACGAAGAGATTCAAGCTAAAACAGGGCAGTAATCAAACCCAGTGGCTTGCTGCCCGAGCCTCGGGTTGGTCGATGAAGAAGCCTTGGGGCGATATCCAGCTCGATCTCGAGCTATTGAGGGTAGTCAGGAATGGGATAACAGTTAAGATATGATTAAACAAATGCTCTTTATGGCCTATACCAAGAAATAAATAAAGAACAAGTATGAAACTAATAACGCTAAAAGTAGCCTCGAGCTAGTAAGGACGAGCAAGTTAGAGAGAAGAAAGAGAGAGAGAAAGAGAGAGAGAGATATTATTGATCTTGTGGAGAAATAGTTGGAGCAATATCAGCTGAGCCCTACAAAGTGATGGGTATCCCCTTTATATAGGAGGAAAATCCATGATAGTACAAAAACATGTTGGCTGTAAAGGCGTGGAGATAGGATGGCTGGACGTGACGTCTTGAAATAGGCCCCCGGGTAGGTCACCTTTGTCAGATTAAGCCGTATGCCTTGGGAACTTCTCTCTCGCATGTTGTAGCCTGCTATAGCCGTTGGAACACGATGCCCTTCGGACTGGACCTAAGGGTGAGTCTCGACCTTGGCTTCGAGCTTCGAGGAGCATGACCGCGAGGCGACCTTATGACGGGGAATAAGGCCCCCGGATTTGCCGTATACAGATTTCTTAGAGTGAAAGTGGAAAGAAATGATAAGAAACAATCCTAATTTGCCGTCCCTGCAGGTTTTCGTATTGACTGCAGCGGTTGGCTTCCTTCAATGTACACATGGTGCTTTTATAAATACTCCCCTCTTCCTTTCCAGGCTCTATCTCGTGCCAAAAAACCCATAGTAAGGTCTGTTTTTCCCTCATTCTCGTTCTTTTTTAGGAACACAACCCCTTTTTCTTCTTCCTTAAGATTCTCTCAAGGATGGCAAGATTTTCTACTTCTGCTTCCCGGGAGGTCGCCGGCTCGTCTTCTTCATTTTTCTCTCAAGGAAAAGTGTCTCAGGATCCTTTGTGATGACTTCCGATTTTAGGGTCGAGAGACCTTCCTTGAAATTAGGGCACTGCGAGCCTGTAACTCAGTATATCAACTCCATAACGAACATCGAAAGAGTGAGGGACGACTGTCGCTAGGTGGATATCGTGCTCGTGGAGATTCCTGCTCGGGAGAAAGATATTATGGCTCATAAAGCCAGCTTTCTGAGTGTGTATACCTACCCATTTACCTTGGGGCTAGTGGGGCCATCCTCGCCTCCAATCGACCCTGTGATTCTCGACTTCTATTGGAGTTATCAAGTAACTCTAGGTCAAGTTCATCCTTCATTCTAGCACGTGGTTTATATGATTAGGCATTACTCGAACATGATAGAAGGAATGCCCTTCACCCTGATCCATCTGATCCGGATGTATAGTCCCCGTCTTCTTCGTGGGGGCTTAATCAAGCTTCGCTATTGAGCCCCGAGATCCCTTTTTGCCTGTACTAAGGAGTTCAGGGACGAGGGATGGGTAAGCCGATTCATCCGAGTGAGGACGTCTGACTTGATTCCAGTGGAAAATATGCCGTTCCTTGAGAAGTGGAATGCCAGGCATAAGTAAACATGATGTTTTTTCTCCTTCTTGGCGATATCTCCCTATGCGTCTAACTCTGCTTTTCTTGCCTTTTTAGCCGTAGCGATCTACCCTGGTGTGGTGTCGGATCTACCGGGTTGGGTTGGTCGTTTGTACTCAATTTTCCTGTATATCGAACGAGGGTGGCGAGAGTTGTCCCAAGCTCAATGGGAAGCCAAACACCATGGCGAGCCTTGAGCCTTGATACATCCGCGTATTTTGCTGTTAGTAACTTTCTACATCCTTTGAATTTTTCCTCTACATTTATGTAGCTCTGGGAGAAATCCCATCGACGAGTGATGCACCGTCCATTGGAGGGGAGGCTCTGGTGCTTGGTGAGGAGAAGAAAAGGTAGGGGAGTCTATCTATTGGGCCACCGGAGCCCAAGAGGGTCAAGGTGGAGGATTCCAAGGTTGATCCAGCAGCTTTGACCTCCAAGGCGACGGGAAACCCTCGTGCTGAAGGTGAGGGAGAAAGCAACTTCTCGGTATCCCCCGAAGAGCGTATGGATTTGATCGATCCTCAGGCCGTGGGGATAGATGCTCCTAGACAAGAGTCCGATGCCGTCATGGCCTAGCTTCGTGGCGGTGAGGCAATGGATGGGGTATCGAGCACTGCCCCCGAATTGGCAGCTGGCCGGAGTTTTTCTCGAGCTAGGATACCCTTGGCAGGCAGTTTAGAGGGGCCTCGATCTGGGACCCAAGGTGAACAAGGGATGGAGATTTTGGCTGACCCTGTTAACCCGTTGATTGTTGTCGATTCTCCTCAAGAGGAGATTCTTCCATCTTACGAAGTGCAAGACGTTCCTCGCAAGGAGCCTTCTGAGGCAGGAGCATTGATCATAGGCAGAGATGCATTCGAGAGGTCGGTGACCATTCTCGAGGGTAGTTCTGAGGTTGATGCTTTATCCATTTTCGGCGAGATGGGTAGACTTTGTGAGCGGGTAACTTCTGCTAACCTTATCCACCGTTCTAGGCCATTCCGACCTTCGTTCTCCTAACTTGTCCCTTTATATGGTTTTAGGCCAAAGTGCTTTATAACCAGGCTTTCACCAGTATCATGATGAGGTGAGCCGTCACGAACGTGAGAAAGCCTATTTTACCGAGCAGGTTATTCATCCCCTGTTTACTATCATTTGAGCCCTTGTGAGATTCTATTGCTTCTAACTTCTCAGGCCTTAATTTGTGCAGTTTGAGAAGGAGAACGCCCTGCTGAGAGGGGAGCTTCGGGCTAGAGATGCTAAAATTTCTGAGCTTAGTTGGCATGTGAGCGAGGTGACTTCTGAGAGGGACAACCTTCAGGGGAGAGTTACCTTAATCGAGCGTCAGCTCCAGGATGCGAAGGAGGATAGTGACAAGTATAAGAGCCTCCATTCCGAGCTAGTGGCTGCATTGGTCCGGATCAAAGTTGAGGCCGAGGCACTTGTATCTTTGCATAGGGGAGGAGCAGTCATCGCAGATTCTTGCATTGAGAGGACGTTTGAGGGAGCTGGCCCGATTTTACCTCGAGCCACAGATCGTGCCTGGCTGGACTCCCACAAGCAGACCGTTGGGGGCGCATTGGAAGGCAGCTCAAGTGGTGTTAAAGATGGGGGTAGATCCCCGGAGAGAGAGGACGCCGTTGAGAAGGGGCCGTCGGGGGACTCGTAATCGTCCGTGTGCACCCCTTGGGGAGCTGTTGAGGCTGCCGGTTCGGCAATAGATTAGGATCTTTGTTGTTTTTTCCTGTCGATATCCCTGCTTGTATATAGTACTTTAGTTTTGGCATATGTATAAAGAGAATCCTGTGATTTCGTTTCCCTTATTCCCTTTTCTGCCCTGAATTTAGCAAGGGTTGGCGAAAGAACCGTAGACCTATGATATAGCACTGTGGCTTGTTTAGGTCAGCTCGGGAGTTGTCACACGGCTGGTCGATGCGGTCTTCAGTGTGAACTGCCGTTAGAGCTCTTACACTTTTGCCCAACTATTTTGTGTTGAGTCTCCGGATAGATATTTGACTTGAGCTTACTTGATCCCCAATCTCCTGTGCCTGCATGGTCGGGTGATGATGGTTCTTATTCCTTGCCCTTGGGCATTTGTATTTTACCTGTTTTTGGGTTCAGTACTTGAGTCGTGTTACGACTTGATCTTTATTTGACCCTCAAGTTTTTTCGTGCCTGCATATGCGGATGACGATGGCCCTTAAGCCTTGGGTCGAAGCGACCTTTAAAGTGTGTGGCCCTAAGGCTGGTTTGGCTAGTGACAATGGCACTTACTCTGTGCCCTTAGGCATATGTAGTTAACTATTGTGGATCCGGTCTCCGAATCAGGTTACAACTCGAGCTCATTTTAATCCTCAAATTTTCAATTTTCAAGCTGGCGACAATGGCTCTTACGCTGTTGGTCGTTGCGACCTTTTAGTGTGCGGCCTGGAGGCTCATTTGGCTGGCAACTATGGCTCTTACGCT